ATCGGCACCTACTCTACACGGTCGGGCTCGGGATAAACCCGTGCCCGACGTGCCTAAACGGGACTAAGATCGTGGCCTCGTTGAACAACATAACCTTCGTGATGCCGCGAACCGCGCTTCTACAAGCGCATTACTACAAACTACGAGATGTTTACACGCCCGATTTTCCCGATCGGCCCACGATCCCGTTCAACTACACGGGGGCCCCGTTGACCGCGAACCTCCAAACGAACGTGGGCCCGCGGCCGCGGATAAGTTGGATAAAATTCAACTCGACGGTCGAGCTCGTGGTACAAGACACTAACCTTTTGACGGTCGAGTCCCACCCGTTCCATCTTCACGGGTACAACTTCTTCGTGGTCGGGACGGGGATCGGGAATTTCGACCCGGTTAACGACCCGAAGAAGTACAACTTGGTCGACCCGCCGGAGAGGAATACGGTCAGCGTGCCGACCGGCGGCTGGGCCGCCATAAGATTCAGGGCTGATAATCCAGGTAACTGTGAATTCAACATGGGTTAATCATCATTTGAAGAAAAGTTATGATCTTTCTTGATTTTCTTGATTTTTTTTTTTGTAGGTGTGTGGTTTTTTCATTGTCATTTGGAGGTTCATACAGGGTGGGGATTGAAGACAGCATTTGTGGTGGAAAATGGACCTCATAAAGAACATTCAGTTTTGCCTCCACCAAAAGATCTTCCAGCTTGTTAATTAGAGACTACTGCACAAAATTTAATGATTAAAAATTAATCTGAAGAGAAATTAATTTGTTAATTGGATGAAGGAGTCCTTTTAAAGAGGGGAGGAGAAAAAAAAAAAATTGTATACAACTTTTAACTGTGTAATAATAATGTTTCATATTTGTTTTCAAGAGTGTGGTTCAAAATTTCAAACAATGATTTGTGTTAATTGTATTTGTTTCAAGTCTTTGTGAAGTGTATTGATATTTAATGGAAAATGAACTCTCAATTTGTTTAATTTTGATTTTTTTTTTTTTACTTTATATTATGCTCATG